GCGACCATGGATTAGCGCCATCAGCAACAAGTAGCATACGCAGCGATGACAAAGAAATGTCTTTATGATCTTTTGTAGCCAACAGACCCCAATGCAAGTCACGACTCTTCACCAGACAACAGGAAGCACGATGTTTAGTGATAAGTTGCATCCATGATGAGGGACGCAATTTCATCAAAGCATAAGGTATAAATAGCACATGCATTCCATTTAACACTGAGGTGAGTACAGCGTGCCATAAGCCAACTTCGCGCTTAAAATCCAGCACACAAACTATGGTTTCACCTTCGGTGTAGTGGCAAGCCATGGTGAGCGCGCGACAATGGTTCATCATAGCCAAACGTGTAACAGTGACACCTTAAAAAATAAAGTAAAATTAATATTTCACTAATGCTTTCTTAGGTCGCGCTGTATCCACTATAGGAACAATTCATTTCTCAACCATTTGTAATCATACATACCCATTACACTGCCCTCCTTGTCGGTTGTATACTCAATGTATGCTGTGGCCGAGTCCTCAATACGTATGTTACCAACATTGAAGTCTTTTGGTGGTTTTGGCAGATGTTCAGTTACAAACCACTGTAGGCGTGGCCAGCCCTTCAACTTAGCTATCTCACCAGTGGCCGATTTTGGCAAACCTTTCAGGCACGCCTCAGAAGTCAACGCCACCGTAATACCACATGAACTAAGCAGAAAGCCTACCTGTTGTGGCGGTGTATCAGAACTAGAGAGCGGCAACTCGATTGGCAGTGGTACAAGACCGCGAAACATGCAGCCATACCAAGCAGTAATGAAACTGCAAATTTAAAAATAATATTATAACAAAGTTTATGAAAATTACAACAGTTTGTTAACCTCAATGGGTCGTTGTTTGGGTAAACCAAAGCCACGCGATCACCGGGCTTAAGTGTAATCTGTTCTGGGCCCTTACTGAAGATTTTCGTTGATAATGCATATGCAATTTTTTGTGCGCGTGACAATAATTTTCCATATGTTAATGTAGTGGTGATTTTTCCATTCGGATCTAGTACCGTCGCCATAGGCGATTTAAATGAGTTCGCACCATAACGCTGCAGTGCCGCCTCCAATGAACGTGGCAGACCCGCTGCCACCGCCAATTGTTCACCCTGTACAGCGGTCATAATACTACCCTCGGGTTTCGGTGCATTTGGATCTTTGGGATTTGCGGCGATTTCGAGTTCGATATCGTTATCTTCGTAAAATTCGGGTAATGGTCGCCGCTTAGGACGTTTTAGCGTATTGAGCAACTGCTGAATTTTAGCTGATACTTTCCAACGGCCATTCGTATCCGATTCGCCAAGATCGGTTTGTGAGACATTCACATAGCGCGTCACACGATCTGCGGCATGGCGAGTATTATTGAATTGTGTAATATCTGGTGCGGCATCTGTAAAAATAAATTTTATTTGTATTGTCACTATGTAAATTGTTTGAGTCAAAAATTAAATTATTATATTTTTATTAAAATATTTCTAATTACATGGCTTGTGCTTCTCTTTGCTATCAGTGAAATCAGTATTTTCTTTCATATAAGCTGTTGGTGGCGACTCCGTGCTGGATGTATCTGAAGTTGGCTGCGTAAGTGATAATTAAATTATTTTATGTTTTTTCAAAATATTAAGCAATTAATTTACCAGTGGGGGCAAATTCTGTGGTGGTCGCCGTTCAGGGTATTTATGCTTGTTTTGGGCCCCACCCATTGATGAGTCTCGAATGGGTGGTTTTATAATTGGCTCCATAATATTGCTAACGTGATCACGCGGATAATTATACTCCTTGTCGGGAGAAATTGTTTCCTCAGGAATGGATTCTTCATCCGTTGATGAATCTAAATATTATTAATTAAATTAAATATATAATTTGGTAAATTTTCATTGTTGCATGATCTCGAGCAAAATGCATCCGCTCACCAATATCATCATTATTGCGGTCCGGACTTCGATTGAGCACAGAACTTCTCTTTGATGGCATTGGCAAACTAGGCTTTGGCCGTGTTTTCAGTGCTGCAAGCGCTTGTTGCACAGCCTCTTGTCGCACTTCTAAACGTACATTTTCGACAAGTATATCAGCTTTGTTATTGCCTCCATACTGTAGATTAATACTAGATTAACTTACCGGAATGATAACGTTTTTCATTGTGTGTAATCTTTCGCTGTGTACGTCGTTGCCTACTATGTTGATGGCTTGACTCGGATCTCTCTATGTGGCCACTACCACTGCCACCACCACCACCACCACTACCCATCGAATGGTGGCTGCCTTCTGACTTTTTAGATGCATTGGAATGTCTTTGATGAGATGATGGTAGTGAGGGAACTTCAGTTACATAACTGTATCCCTCACTTGATACTAAGGCTCCATCTTTCACAGTCTTTGGATTTTGCGGTTGCGGCGTTTTAATATTATAGTAAGGAGGCATGGGTTTGTCACATTTATCCACATCTTTCAGCACCTCATTTCCTATTTTATGAAAAAAGGAAAGTCAATAAAATAGTAACTAACATTTTGTGAGTGTGTAAATAATTTTTTTTATAATGCATAATAATTATAAATTTTATTATTACATATCTGTTTTTAATATTTTTAAATAAACAAAAAATTATAATAAATCTAAACGCAATAAATACATATTAAATGTGTCTAGCATATTGCTTGTACATATTCTCTATTTTTCAAATTACCCGTGCATATATATTATATATGTGTGTACATATGTATAAGTTTATAAAGCATTCACTTTTTTTTTGGGCTTATACACACAATAACAATCAAATGCGGCAATATTGCTTCCTTGAAAAAAATATTTTTCGATTATATTTGTTTCCTAATACGCGTTCTAAGCAATTTATATTCAAAAACGATAACTATTTTTGATCGCTTAGTTTATATGATATCTATATGCTATAGTGGTCCGATCTAAACAATTTCTTCGGAGATTGTGCCATTGTCTTGGACAATAATCCGTGCCGAATTTCGTGATGACATTTTGTCAAATAAAAAAGTTTTCCATACAATGACTGGATTTTGTTCGACCAGTTTCTATGGCAGATATATGCTGAAGTAGTCCGATCTGAACAATTTCTACGGAGATTATATTTTTGCCCTAAATGTTGGCAATAATCTGTGCCAAATTAGGTGAAAAGATTTGAAAAGTGAAGAAATTTTTTTCCATACAAGGACATGATTTTGATCGTTCATTTTGTATGGCACCTGTATGCCATAGCGGTTCCGACAAATGATCAGCTCATGGGGAGAAAAGTACGAGTGCAAAGTTTTATATCGGTATCTCATAACTTAATATACCCTGATAAATAGATATTTTATATACACGAATGACACACCTACTATACATATATATTTATGCCCATAATGTATTAAACATAAAAAACAATAACAATCGGGGAATTGCGCGAAAACATTATTTTCTAGCAAAAAAAAATATTCCTCTATTATATTTGTTTCTTATTACGCATTCTCTAGCAAATTATATTAAAAAACGGTAGCGATTTTCAAGCTTAATTATAATTAAAAAAGCATCGTTTGATGGAGTACTAAACTCACAAAGAAATACGCTAACCAATAGTCAAATAGTGTTCAATATATTGTTACGATACTTTAAAGTGACTCATGAAGCAAAACAAAAAAGAACACAAAAAACCAAATAACTTCCATTCGGCTAATTACTTTAATATTTCAAGCTATCTTTTTTCATTAATGAGAAAAAGTCTCACCTTCATTTGTCGGTATTAAAAACGGTTGCAACAACTTTGCTCGCTTCTTTTCATATCCCTTTTGTGTTATGTCGCCTGAAAAAGAGTAAGCATTTATAAATCAAAGCAAATAAAAAGTTACAAAGTTATATGTACGTACATACATATGTGCCTATATGTATGTATGTATGTATTTAAAACGAAAGCTAAGACGCCGGTTCTAATGTCGAAGCATAAAAAATAAATCAATTGGCTTATTTAATCTCGACCATGCATGTAAATGTACATGAACAAGTACTAGATTACAATAACATATAGGTATGTACTAAAACCGATATGTATACATAATAGGAGACTTGATTAACATGGTACGCATATCACACCAAGTAGACAAAAGAGCAATTGAATGCAACTCCTATTAGGGCATATATGTACGTATAGGATTATAAGTAATATAGAACTTAATGCAAAGGAAAGAATATAGTCAACAAACCTTCAGATAATTCCAAATCTAGCTCAGCCAACTTTTCGCGTACATCAGCAGGAAGCGCTGCGAAATTTTCCAACAAATTCGCAGACATTTCTGCGTTATTTATTACTCTATTTTCTTTGTACCGTTCTTTTTTTTTAGATTTGTCGTATCCCACCCTTAAAAATACAGGACGTAGTCCTGTCGACAAAATGTTCCTATCGTATATTATTCACTTGATAGCGATTTCACTGACAAAACCACTTTGCACATAATCACAATGAATTGTACGCTGATTGACCCCAAAATTACTATTGATCACAAAAATTATTTAATTTTTTCCAATGCCATACAGACACAATACACAAGCTCTGTAAAACTCTTGTCAGTTTTAAATCCTAGGTACATAAAATATCATTCATATCCACACAAATACTCGTAGACGGAGCAATTGGACATTGGATGGTTGCCCAACCCCGATGATTCAACTTGGACACAGAAAACACATTCAGTAATTATTCAAAAACATTTACTGTTAGTCGCTTATTCACATAACTCTTTATGGATAAATGCTCCACTTTCATTTATTACTTTGTAACAACGAACTATATTAAATTTTATATAAAAGGAATTAATCGAAGTAGCACGAACTTCGCCTTTTTGACACAAAACAAATTGACATTGTTGCCAATAATCTGTTATTTAAATTCCCAAAAATATACAGGGCTGTTAAAGCCTTTTTTATCGTAAAAATTTGAATCAATCAGTAGTGACGTTTTAAAATAACAAATATAAAAATTTGTCATTACTGCAAAATATTATCATATTTTTGAGTTATCTGTTATATTTGGCGCTTATTGAATGGAGTTGATCATGCAAGAGGATTGCAGCATTAACTATTTCGTTTCGAAAAACGGTGTTTATTATTACGCTTAAAGCGTCATCTTAACAAATTATACACGAAAGTAAATAGAAAGCCAGAGTGAGTGTTGACATTTGCAAAATGAAAAACTAATCGACGAAACATAATGATTTATTCAGGGCCGTAGAGATAAAACATTGCCTCGGTGATGATTGTCGTGAATTTTTGAGGAAAAATCTATGAAAATTTGTTGCAGATCAACTGGCCCCTAAGACCCGCAAGGAATTGACGCCGATCTCCTCACCCTCTCTCCTTCACTGGGTTTATTATTTTTTCCAGATTGTTATAATGATCAATGGATCAACATGTTTTACTGCATAAATGACCTTTGGCTGAAAGTTGTTTTTCACACAGTTTTTTACCATCCTGCTTGCTATAGTTAACATCCAGCGTAAATGATGGTGTATGTGTTTTCCCAAGGCCATCTAGTCTTTGTTGTATTTATGCCGTTTTACTTTCAGGTCGTTTTATGGGTAAATGTATAGTTTATTACTTTAATAATTTTCCAGCGAACGTGCAGTTCTAGGTGACAAGGAAAGAGTATTTAATATCTATTGAGAAATACAGGGTGGCTCACTAATCGTGCCACAAAAAAAAACCGTAATAATTTTTTCCTGTGTGAGTAATCGACTTAATTTTATTTTATTTGGCAGGTTATTATTTGAAGTTTTTGAAAATAAATGCTTGGAATACCGAAAAGAGGGTTTGGATAGTGCCGCGGTACCATACTTTACTGTCCGTCATTTTCGTCCAAAGGGAATTCAGACGGGATTTTGGCGGCACTCCTTCGGGTAGATGGACCATTATAAGGTTGGTTGTTGTTGTTGTAGCGACAGCATTCTGCCGAGTTGACAGTCCTTGGCCGGAATAAATCCGGGTCCGTTCCGGTTACGTAGACCCGACTGTCGTGGGAACGGATTATAAGGTTGGTAAACATGTTTGCCTAATCTGGAAGTATCGGGTCGAGATCCGTATGTTTCTGTTCAAGAATCAATCGGGACTGTTACGTCATCAATTCAGGCAAATCCAAGAGTTTCGACTCGCGACTTATCGGCGCAACTTGCAGTCAGCAGACGGTCATTACAACGGAAAATTCATGATGACTTAAACCTGTTTCCGTACAAAGTTCAAATAACAAGCTGGTTAAACCCTCTAGATTTGCTTGTTTGTCTGGAATTTTGCTAAAAAATTATTGAAATGGCCGAAGAAAACAATAACTTGATAAATTGCCTGTTTATGTTTGATGAGGGCCATTTTGATCTAAACGGAAGTGCAAAAAAGGAAAATTGCCGTGTATGGAGTGAATCAAATCCAGAAATAATCCATGAGACGGAACTTCACCCAGAACGAGTCACCGTGTGGTGCGTAGTTTCTTCAAGGTGCATTGTCGGCCATACTTCTTTGCAGGAAACGGTGTAACAGGAACTGTCAATGTCTTGTAATTGCCTTTGGTATAAATTTTTTTATTTTGGGCCAAACTGAAAAGCTACAAATGTTTGTAGTTTACCATATGAAAAACTTTGCATATTGGTCTTTAGATAATTAAATCTGTTTGGATTTTGATCTTAGATATTTACATAAAAATAATATAAAATTTTAGATTAATATAATAGCATTTTAATTATTTTTCCAAGACTTGCAGTAAATTACAGTATTAATTATAGCTGTGGTGAAAGTCAAAAATACTATTTAATTACAACTCTGCGTACCAAACGGGGCTGCTATACTCAAATTACTTCTGAGACATTGCTACTACCTTTTAAAATTTATACTAAATACTAAATTAAATATCGTAAGATTTTAATAAAATTTGCTACAACTTTCTAAAATTGATACTTAATACTAAATTAATTATACATCTATTTTGTTGTTGTTAATTAATTGTAGCAGTATTTTAAAGTTCGGTTCAATTACTAGTACTTGCGTTTTAATATAACTTGTAAGCGAAGATTCCTAAATATTTGGGTTTTAAGCGAAATTGCCAACTGTTTAAGCCTACGATGAAGTAAAAATATAAATAAGTAACTTCATTGTTTTAATTATGAGTAATAATTTATGAGGAATTTTATTATCAGCATACTCATAGAGCTATATAAAGTATATATATTTAATTATATTAAGTATTGAATTATGGTCATTGTACGTTTAACAAATTGATGTGTACTTCGTCACGTATTTGAGGGTTGCTTGAAACTTCCTTTTCCATGGGAAATGCAGAGGTAGCGTAGTATTTGATGCAGGTTGCATTTTATGTATAATTTTCACGGGAAAACCGTTGGAAAAGTAGGAAAATTTTTAGTACGAAGCCGTTAACCCTGTATGCACACTGGTACTAGTAGATATAGTGCATCTATACTGGTTTGCTTCGAGTGATCAGAGTGGTTTAGCGAAGTTGTTTCTCTTTTCTCTTTCAGTTTTGTTTGTGATTTCGTCGGGTAAGGTGTGTGTGGTCGTGCCGATTTTGCATTTTGTGGCTTTAATAAGTGAAGTAGTACATAAGGATTTTTTAGCTGTATCTATATGTATACATATACTTGTTTATTCCATTGTGTGTACACTTAGTGCTGTAACGTTAGCAGTGGAAAGTCATTCTTTATCCCAGATAAAAATTGGGAGTTTCAAGTTCTTGTAGTGAATATAAAGTTTTTGTGCAAATTTTTTTAATAATAAAAATTCACAAAATTGAAACTTAGTAAAAACTAAAATCACTAAACAATCAAATAAATACGAAAAATAAAGAAATAAAAAATATATATTTATAAAAATGGCATCCGAGGTAAGTCAGACACCAGTAACTGAAAATAAGGTTGCTGAAGAGGCGGCGGCGGCGGCAGCGACCAAGCCAGAAACAACAGCTACAGAGGCAGTAGCAGCCAAGGAGAATAACGCTGAAAGCAATGGAGCCGATACAGCGAACGCACAGGAGAAAGGTGACGACACAAAGGCGTCGGCCGGTGAAGACACAAAGAAAGATGGAGACAATGCTACTACTGCAGCAGCAGCCAACAGCAAAGCCGAACCAGCACCAAAGTTCAATGTGCATAAAACGAACTTTGAGAAGGATGTAATATATCTGTATCAGTTCTCCCGCACTCCTTTGCTGCCATCGCTATCACCATATTGTCTAAAAGTCGAAACCTGGCTGCGTCTGGCAGGTCTCAAATACGAGGTAAGAAATTTAAATCTACACACATACATATGTATGTACATAGATATATTTGTAAAGAAAAGATTTTAGTTACATACATATGCGCTAAATCCAGCTAAAATGTTGGGACAAAACCCACTATGGCTAGTTAGGGTAATACAGGATTCAGTATTCAGGCATACATAGATGCAAAATGTGTATATGTATTTATGTAGCCTAGGTATATAGATATGTAAATCTGTGTGTGCATATGTGCGCTATATACTGTAACAACACTCCGCCACCGCATACACTTTGTCATTTCATATCCCCCACACAAAAATTCAAAACTCGCCATATTGAATTTTAAGTCTCACACACATACACACAGTGTTTCCGCTGGAAAAGGGCAGTTGCCTTGCCCTGTTCCTTGTTGTTTCACTCCTTGCTCGCGCTGAGCATGCTAGCTGGTTGCTATGAGTTGAGTTGTCGTTGAGACTGGAAAGGTGCTTCCAGTGTCGCTATACACTGCCCGGCTCTGTACCGCGCAATGTGTATACATGCACATACATACATACGCACACGGGCAAAGGCACCACTCATTCTGCTGTTACTCTTTTATTTATGCTGCGCCGTGAGAGCGGGGTAGAATCGAACCATAGTTGTGTACCAGAAAGAATTTTCGCCCGTTATATTGCAATAAAGCTGCTTAAACATATATACATACTACATGCGTATATTAATTTGAAATACGAATACCTGTGTGTTTGCATTTATGTTTGCACTTTTTTTATTGAAATGATAATGCAGGTGTTGCAGCGCTGAAAGTTTGCAATAAAAAATATATAATAAATATGTAAATAGCATGCAGGTTTGAAATCAGGTGACCAGAGTTGTATAAATTGAAATGCAAGTATAACAAAGCACTTGTATACAATTTATACATTGTACACTGTATGTACATATGTATTTTCATATATATATGTTCATTTCTATGCTTAATTCATATCAGTGCGAGGCAGGATCGGTTGCAGCGCGCTAGGGGGTCACGAAGTCGTTAAATGAGACACAAAACAGAAATAGAGCAACTCTTGCTTGTACACATATAGCACTCTCAAATGTATGTACGTATATACATGTGCGCATGCTTATGTATACGCGCAAATTTCTGGTTTATTTGCGCGATCGTCATAGAAAAAATAGTTTGCACTAATTTGCTCTGCATTTTCCTATTATCTTATAATTTACTTTTCTTATAAAGCATTTTAGTTGTTAACTGTTAACAAGTTTGGTGTTTATTATTATTTTTTTAATGTCGTTATTAGAGTGCAAGAGTACATTTTTCTGCAACGGGTGCATTTAACCTGCATACCATTTGTTTGTACGCGCTGTCACTGATTTTTTGTTGAAATGGTTTAAAGTAACATGTTTTACACAAAGTCTTTAATTTACAGAGGAAAAGAGTTGATTAATTTTTGCTTATATAATTATTTACAATACCAAACTCAAGCAGATCTTTTAATTACTTCAGTCCTCTCCTTGCTGTACTTTATTAAAAAATAAATTTAAATAATTAAAATTTATTTTAACTTCGTCAGTCCGCTACTTTCTCTACTACAACATAAATTTATACAGTTAAAATATTAAATTAAATAACTCTAAAATAGTAAAACAATTGCAATTTTTATATATAACACATATTGTGTGGTTTTATGGGTGTGGTCATGCTTTTAGAAGAAAAGAGGCAGAAATGTTATAATAATATTCCTTAACTGAGCTTCTAAGGTTAGATATGTATAGTAAATTCGTAAAATATCAAAATTATCTTCAAAAATTTTAATCAAAATACTACTTTTTTCAATCTATATATCGAGTACAAAACCATAAAAGTGGCAACTAATAATATGTGCAAACCCCGAATGTATTTTTAAAGTCATACAAATTTTGTATTCAAAAACTTATTTTTATAAGACATTTCGGCATTTCTGTGCATAAATTTTTGTTTTTAGCATTGAAACATTCGAATATAAAAAATATGTTTGTTAAAAATATACATTATAATACAATAATATATTTGTTAAAAATTGATTTTTAAAATTGAAAAAAAAAATTAGGAGTAGCTCAGTACAAAACCATTTTGTCTACTATTTCGGATATTTTTCAAAATTTCTTAATAAAAAATTTAAAAATTATATATTTTAAAATAATATATAAATATACTTTCTTTTTTGAATTCTTAATTATATGCTTGGCATTAAAAATTTCCTTTTATATGTTTTATTCCGGTAGTTTATTTTTAATTTTATTTTTAAAAATTAATCACACAAATTTCTTCTTTTTTTTAATCCGGTCAATCTGGTATTTGGGATTAAAATTTTTTCTTTTTTTAATCCTGTGTTTGCATTATTTGCAGCCCTGATAGAAAGTTTCTCTTTAATTTG